GGGAGGCTGAGGCAGGCAGATCACCTGAGGTCAGGAGTTCAAGACCAGCCTGGCCACCATGGGCCAGCCTAGCCACCATGGGGAAACCTTATCTTTACTAAAAATTCAAAAATTAGCTGGGTGTGGTGGCATATTCCTGTAATCCCAGCTATTGGGGGGGGGGGGGCTGAGGCAAGAGAATCTCTTGAACCTGGGAGGTGGAGGTTGTTATGAATGAGATCATGCCACTGCACTTCAGCCTGAGACTGTCTCAAAAACAAATGAAGCAGAAAAAACCTGCAAAAAAAGAAGAATTGTTTTCTTAAGGGTTTTTTGGACCATTCATTCCAAGTATATAGAAGTACAAATGAATATTGTGTGTTGATTCTGTATTCTGCAACTTTGATGACTTTTTTAGTGCTTTTTTGTTTGTGTGGATTCTTTAGAGTTTCATATGTGTAGGACCCTGCCATTCCTGAACAGAGGTAATTTTATGTCTTCCTTTTTAGTTTGGATGGCTTTATTTTTATTTTTATTTTTCTAACCTAATTGCTCTGGCTAGAACTTCTAGTAGTAGGCTGGTAGAAGTGGTCAAAGTGTGGGCATTTTTGCTTTGTTCCTGATCTTAGGGGAAAAGCCTTTGGTTTTTTGTTGATAATGATGTGAGCTAAGGGTTTTTCATATGTGCCCTTTTTCGTATTGAGGAAATTCCTTCTAAGTGAATATTGTCATCTTGAAAGAGCATTGAATTTTGATAAATTGGTTGGGTGCACTGGCTCATGCCTGTATTACCAGCACTTTGGGAGGCTGAGGTGGGCATAGGAGGTGCTAGAACCCTCCTACAGGAGGTGGAGGCTGCAGTGAGCTGTGATTGGAGTGCCACTGCACTTCAGCCTGGGCAACAGAGTGAGACTGTCTCAAAGAAAAAGAGAGTTCTTTCCCTTCCACTGACTAGTTGAGTGGAGGCAGAGACTTGGGTGCATTCAAGATGCAGCTTCACCCATAAACCACCACCATGGCCAAGGAAGGCATTGCTGCTGGAGGTGTAGTGGATGTTAATACTGCTTTACAAGAGGTGCTGAAGACTACCCTCACCCATTATGGCCTAGCATGTGGAATTCTCAAAGCTGCCAAAGCGCCAAGCCCATCTTTGTGTGTTTGCATCCAGCTGTGATGAGCCTATGTCAAGTTGGTAGAGGTCCTTTCTCCTGAACACCAAATTAACCTAATTAAGGTTGATGACAACAAGAAATTAGCGGTAATGGTTAGGTCTCTATAAAATTGACACAGAGGGTAAACCCTGTAAAGTGGTTGGTTATAGTTGTGTGGTAGTTGAAGAGTACTTCAAATGCAAGAAATGAAGAAATTAAATTCTGGCTCACCCCCCTCCCCCAACACACACACACACACCCACTCACTCACTCACTCAACTCACTCTGGTCACAATGACTCATTCCTGTAGTCCCAGCACTTTAGGAGGTCGAGGTGGACAGATCAGTTGAGCACAAGAGTTCAAAACCAACCTGGGCAACATGATGAAATCCCATTTCTACTAAAAATACAAAAAATTAGCCAGATGCTATGGTTCCAGATACTTGGGAAGCTGAGGTGGGAGGATTGCTTGATCCTGGGAGGTGGAGGCTGCAGTGAGCCATTATTGTGCCCCTGCGTGCCAGCCTTGGTGACAGAGTGAGACCTTGTCTCAAAAAAAAAAAAAAAAAGACTTTTGATAAATGCTTTTCTGCATCTATCAAGATGATTATGTGGTTTTTACATTTTTTAAAATTTTTGTAGAGGCAGGGTCTTACCATGTTGCCCAAGCTGGTCAGGAATATGTTTTTTAAATTTTCTTTTGTTTAATTAGTTTGGTATATTACATTAATTGACTTTCATTTGTTGAATCATCCTTGCATTCTGGGAATAAAACTCACTTGGTCTTAATGTATGATCCTTTTAATATGCTGCTGAATTCCGTTAGTGTTTTGTTGATTTTTACATATATATTCATAAAGAATATTCTGTAGTTTTCTTTTTTTGAGATGGAGTCTTGCTCTGTCTCCCAGGCTGGCGTGCAGTAGTGCGATCTCGGCTCACTGCAAGTTCTGCCTCCTCGGTTCAAGCAATTATTCTGCCTAAGCCTCCTGAATCGCTGGGACTACAGGCACACGCCACCATGCCTGGCTAATTTTTTTTGTATTTTCAGTAGAGATGGGGTTTCACCATCTTGGCTAGGCTGCTCTCGAACTCCTGACCCTGTGATCCTCCCACCTTGGCCTCCCAAATTGCTGGGATTACAGATGTGAGCCACCATGCCTGGCCTTTTGTTTTCTTACAGTATCTTTTTCTGGCTTTGATGTCAGAGTAAATTCTGGCCTTATAATGAGTTAGGAAGCGTTTCCTCTTCTTTAATCTTTTTTAAGAAACTCTTTTTTTTTTTTTTTGAGACTGAGTCCCGCTCTGTTGCCAGGCTGGAGTGCAGTGGCAAGATCTTGGCTCACTGCAACCTCCGCCTCCTGGGTTGAAGTGATTGTCCTGCCTCAGCCTCACAAGTAGCTGGGATTACAGGCGTTTGCCACCACGCCCACCTAATTTTTGTATTTTTGGTAGAGACGGAGTTTCACCATCTTAGCCAAGATGGTCTCGATCTCCTGACCTTGTGATCCACCCACCTTAGCCTCCCAAAGTGCTGTGATTACAGGGGTGAGCTACCATGCCCGGCTGAAACTCTTGTTCTGTAAATGTTTGGTCAAAGTTTTTGTGATCAGGAGAGGTGAATGAGGTATATTTTGGAGCTAACAAAAGTGCTTCAAGGAACTAGAAAGATTTCTGGAGCACTGCAAGTTTCTGTAAAGCACAATCTGAAAGTACCACTAAGTCTGTCAACTCACAAAAGTTCTCATAGTGTTTATTGGCCTCTTGCTTTGTTCCGGGCTGTTTTCTTGTTATTTTTATGCTGCTCTACCTGGAATCACATATTCTATACCTTCAAGTCTGTTTTGGAGGATTCAATTGTGGAGATTGGGAAACCTCAAAAAGAATATTTTGATATATTTTCAGTCTTTAAAATACTTTGTACACACTGTAATATTTAAATCGCCTCTGAAAACTAGGAGAGTGATCTCAAATTAATAAGCTTAAGACAGAAAAATTTTGCTTAAGCAAATGATTTCTGGATTTTGTTTTGTTTTGACCCCTTTAGTGAGGGTGCATTTTATATAGATTGGTCGTTCCTTTTTCTTCTTTTATCTGCTTACAAGGAGAATATTAGTTTGTGTTCACAGAGACTAAATACAGATTTTTCCCTTCTATGGAGGTTAGGCCCTTTTGCTTGAAGTTGTATAACAAAGGCCAAAAATAATTCCTTATAATAAGGCAAAAAGGTGAGAGTTTGCCTATTCCATTACTGTGTTTTAGACTCTTGGGACATTTGAATGCTTTAGCCAGTACCGAAAAATTGACCATTGGTGACTCTTTTGTGCAGTGACTTTCAAACATTTTTGATAGCTTCCTAGAATAAAAAATAAGATTTATATTGTGACTCCATACACAAAAAAATATATACATATACAACTAATGTTAAAGTCTCACAAACCAATTCTTAAGCTTTATTAAAGGGAATGCAGGCTGCTATCTTCTGTTCTGTTTCTTTCTCTTTTTTAAAATACTGGTTTCAACTTGCTGAATTTATTTCATAAATGTCTAATGGGTGTGAACTTTTAGTTTAAAAAATATTCCTCCTCTATTATGCAATCAGCAGAAAAATACTAAAAAATTTAAAAAATACTCCAGCTGGGTGTGGTGTTGCACCCCTATAATCCTAGGACTTTGGGAGTCTGAGGTGGGCATATCACCTGAGGCCAGGAGTTAAAGACCACCCTGGCCAACATGGTGAAACCTTGTTTCTGTTAAAAATACAAAAACTAGCCAGGTGCTGTGGCAGGCGCCTGTAGTCCCAGTTACTAGGGAGACTGATGCAGGAGAATCACTCGAACCTGGGAGACAGAGGTTGCAGTGAGCGGAGATGGCGCCACCTTACTCCAGCCTGGGTGACAGAGTGAGACTCTGTCTCCAAAAAAAAAAAAAAAAAAAAAAAAAATACTCCTCCATGACTCCCAAATTTAGCTGTATGTATAGTTTTCTGGGCTGCTACTCTTAGAAAGTTTGATTTTGTGGTTTTAGTTTTTATTTTTATAAAGCATTCAGGAATTTATATTTTTATCATTTACCCAGATAATTCTGATGTAGCCTTAGCCAAGTATTTGGGAACTACTAATAGATCTAATGTAATAAAAACTAGTTTATTTAAAGCTGAATTTATCCCTTAAAACTGCTGAAAACTGTAATTGTAACTCTTAAAGTTATTGCCCTTTGAGTTTGTTTTTTTTTTTTTTCCAGAGAGAGAGAGAGAAACAGGAGAAGGAGAGAGAAAGAAACAGCTAACTCTTACACTGAGTGAGAGAATCCAGAAAGATGGAATCCAGGAGAGAAAAGCAGCTTCCACATTGAGTGAAAGGAAATTGAGAGAGAGGTGGAATTTAGGAGGGGAAGACAGGCTTCCATGAGAGAGAGTGGAAGGGGACCCTAGAGGGGAAATCCAGGAGGGGAAAGAGAGCTCCTACTGTGTGGGAGGGGATTCCAGAGAGCTGGAAATACCTGCCCTTTGAGTTTTTTTTTGTTTTTTTAAAGATGGGATGTCACCATATTGGTCAGGCTGGTCTCGAACTCCTGACCTCAGGTGATCCGCCCACCTCAGCCTCCCAAAGTGCTGGGATTACAGGCGTGAACCACCACGCCCGGCTTGCCCTTCGAGTTTTTAAAAAATCATCTAGTACCTAAGCTATCTGAACTCCAATATTTATATTATCTAATAAAATGTGGAGAGCCATTTTATGCAGTGATTGACAAGTAAAAGACAATTAAATTCCTTTTGATTATAGAAAAAAAAGGCTGGGCACTGTAGTAGATTAAATTCACCCTCTGGTTTGTTCCATTCAGTAGTGATGTTGTCTTCTTTGACACAGACCAGTTTATATCTGACTTGGAACACCAGCCATCAGGTTCAGCAGAGAAATGGCCTAACCACAGTGTGCTCTCGTGTCCAGCTCCTTTCTGGAGAATCTAGAGGGTGAGTGTTGATTGAAATGTGTCATTGTTTTTGTGCCCAAGTCTGGTATTTGCATGTAGTGGCTGGATTTGCATGTGCTACAGAGGAAGGGGGTATGCGCGGGCACTTTCTGGTAGGCCACTCATTATCTTTGGAACTACACTTTGACTAAAAGACTCTGCTTTTTAAATTTAACCACATTGAGGCTCTTACACTTGTGCTTATGAGTTTATTCTTGAATGAAAGGCAAGTGTTTACTTAGATTTATTAGACCAAAGCAGAAAGAGGTTCCATAGCTATGAATTCTATGGTTTGGGTGCTGATCAGTATGTAAAGCCTACTCATTCCTGGTCAAGTACTCTTAAGTTTTGATGTGAATGAAATCAGGAAATTTTGTCCATTTTTCAGAGGCAACCCAGAATATTTATCCCTAGCCTGGCTTGTAGGCCCATGTTTGCACTTCTGGTAGTTCCTGTGGGGCTCTACTTAGAAGAAAGCTGTAGGCTGGGCACAGTGGCTCACGCCTATAATCCCAGCACTTTGGGAAGCTGTAGGTGAGTGGATCATGAGGTCAGGAGTTTAAGACCAGCCTGATCAATGTGGTGAAACCCTGCCTCTACTAAAAATACAATTAGCTGGGTGTGGTGGCAGGTACCTGTAGTCCCAGCTACTCAGGAGCCTGAGGCAGGAGAATCACTTGAACCCTGGAGGCAGAGATTGCAGTGAGCCGAGATTGCTCTACTGCACTCCAGCCTGGGCGACAGAGCGAGACTCTGTCTCAAAAAAAAAAAAAAAAAAGCTGTAGTACTAGAGCAAGTGTCTGTGTCTAGGCTTAGGCTTTTAAATTTAGCAGCCAATGAGGAATGAAGCTTTTCCTTGCTGTCATGTTGGCTCCTTTCTTCAAATACTCTCAAAGCCACTTAAGAAAATATGTGATACCAGGTCAGAGGTTTGAGACCAACCTGGCCAAGATGGTGAAACCCCATCTCTACTAAAAATACAAAATTAGCTGGACACAGTGGTGCACACCTGTAATCCCAGCTACTCGGGAGGCTGAGGCCAGAGAATTGCTTGAATCCGGGAAGCGGAGGTTGCAGTGAGCTGAGATTGTACACTGCACTCTAGCCTGGGTGACAGAGCAAGACTCTGTCTCAAAAAATATATATATGTGACAGAAATTATAAATATTACAGATTATAATTTCCTAAATGCCATTTGAATTTTATTTTAAAATTAATTTGCATTTGGAAGGGGCCTTGGAAATTATGTTCTCTACTCAAACGTTTATATTTAGGATTCTGCAGCCTTCCGTTGACCTATCAGACAAGATATCAAAACCCTGGCTTCTCCCAGAAGCTGGGCCTACCCCGGTCTCACATGATTCTTGTCCAGCCATGAGAGGAGTGATAACTTAATTCCTTCCTTGAATGTATATAAAATTCTCAGGAGAGTTATAACCAGAGGATTTAAAATAATTTCCTCATATTAAGAGTGAGGAAATCAATTGCAGAAAGATGTAAAGCTGAATTTATCCCTTAACACCACTGAGTTAAATCACCCAAGTCACATTACAGCCAAAACAAGACTACAGCTTACTTATTCCGGTGTTTAGCCCAGTGCTTCCCATGTGTGAAGCAGCAAGTTGGTCACTAATAATCTTGGTAAGAAGGAAGTATTTCTGTGGAGTGAAGGGATCAATGGATGACTGAGTGAATAAGAGCTGACAACATAGAAACAGCAATGTAGACAAATTCTTTATGATGTTAAGCCATGAAAGAAAGAAAGAGATAGAGAGGGGAATGTGGGGCCCAGTGTTTTTACTTGCTTGCTTGCTTGCTTGCTTGCTTTTTTGAGATAGAGAGATTTATACATGTTAAATGCTAATGAGAAAGATTTGGGGAAATGAATTGGTAGAGACAAAGAAGTGAAAAAATTGATTCAGCAAGCTGTTGAAGAGGATCCAGAGCACAGGTAGCGGAATGGATCCTGTGGATTTTTGGCTCTGGAGCTCAAGTTCGGCCCTTACAGATAGTAGATTTGTTAGTCAACAGTGGACAAGATTATTGAGAAGAAAATGTACAAAATAAGAAAACAAAATAAGAATAAAGGATTCTTCTGATAATTTTGAAATGCTTCTGAGTCCCCCATCTTAAGCCAAATTGAGAGAAGTGTTTGTTTTTTCACATTTCAGCTTTTGGTGATAGAAAAGAGTACATGCTGATACTTGAATATACTTTCAAGTACCTGTGCACTGTTTACTTAGCTGGAGATTTAATGTTTGTCTTTGTAGAATGTTTTTAGTTAAAAACATTAGAGGAAAGATTGTTATAACACTGATTATAGCATCACACATAGAAGAGGTTTCCTTTTTTTTTTTTTTTTTTTTTTTTTTGAGACGGAGTCTCACTCTGTCATCCAGGCTGGAGTGCATTGAAACGATCTTGGCCCACTGCAACCTCTGCCTCCCAGGTTCAAGCAGTTCTTGTGCCTCAGCCTCCCAAGTAGCTGGGATTACATGCGCCCGCCACCGTGCCCAGCTAATTTGTGTTTTTAGTAGAGATGGGGTTTTACCATGTTGGCCAGGCTGGTTTTGAACTCATGACCACAAGTGATTCACCCGCCTCACCTCCCAAAGTGCTAGGATTACAGGCATGAGCCACTGTGAGCCAAGAAGAGGTTTCTTAAAAAAGCAGGAGTCTTAAAAGGACTGATTTTCCCCCTGAATCCATTGGGTGGGGGAAAAAGGTATAATAAGTTTCCTTTACTAGTACTAGAGCTAATGTTAAAAGTGAATCTCTGATCTATTGCTGGTGAAATTATTTATATTTTAAAAAAAAAGTGGGCCGGGTGCGGTGGCTCACGCCTGTAATCCCAGCACTTTGGGAGGCCGAGGCGGGTGGATCACGAGGTCAAGAGATCGAGACCATCCTGGTCAACATGGTGAAACCCCGTGTCTACTAAAAATACAAAAAATTAGCTGGGCATGGTGGTGCGTGCCTGTAATCCCAGCTACTCAGGAGGCTGAGGCAGGAGAATTGCCTGAACCCAGGAGGCGGAGGTTGCGGTGAGCCGAGATCGCACCATTGCACTCCAGCCTGGGTAACAAGAGCAAAACTCCGCCTCAAAAAAAAAAAAAAAAAAAAAAAAAGTGAAGGATATCTTCAAATCATTGTGCAGGTATTTTCTGTCTGTCCAATGGTAGGAAGCTGTCTAGAGTTCGGGGTGAAATTTAGGATAACTTAGTTAAAAATCTAACAGTCTACCCCATTGTATGAGGTAAAAAGAAGAAAAAATAATTATTAGGCTGAGATTCAGTAGCTCATGCCTGTAATCCCAGTAATTTGGGTGTTGAGGCAGGCAGATTGCTTGAACCTAGGAGTTCGAGACCAGCCTGGGCAACATGGTGAAACCCCATTTTGACAAAAAATACAAAACTTAACTGAGCATGGTGGCTCACACCTGTAATTCCAGCTACTCGGGAGGTTGAGGCAGGAGGATCTCTTGAGCATGTTAGGTAGGTTGCAGTGAGCTAAGATCATGTCACTGCACTCCAGCCCAGGCAACAGAGCAAGACTCTGTCTAAAAAAAAATTAAAAATTAAAAATCTGGCATAAAAGAGCTCAAGCTGGTTTTCTTGCTTACAATACTTAAATATTCTGTGTTATAATTACGGTGGTAAGTTGTATTTTTGTTAATAGTATTAGCTAAGTTAGTATAATGGAGATCCCAAAGAAATTTCCACATAGGAAATTTCTTTCACTCCTCATGATAACTCAGAGATCAAGATTCCTTTCATTTTGTTTTTCCTCTTTCTCCTTAGGTTTTCTCAGAGCTAGAAACCACTTAGTCATGACTGAGTCTTAGCCCGAGGAAGGGATGGGAAAAGGGGAGTAAGAAAGAAGCCAAGCAAGTGATGAGGAAGACACATACATCACTTTTGCTTACATTTCATTGAAGAGAATGAATTACATGGGCCATACCTAGCTACAATGGGGAAGCCAGGACACAACTGTAGCTGGGTGTCAGTGTGACTAACTAAACCTCAATTACTGCAGAAGAATTAATTAAGATAATTAGAAGCCTACCATAGATACTTTCTAAATTTTCAGGGTCTTATTTCTGTCTTTAGCTTGAAAAGGCAAATTAATGTGTCTTGGTTTTTCTCTTTTTTGGGTTTTATTTGGAGACAGGGTCTTGTGCTGTTGCCTAGGCTAGAGTGCAGTGGTGCGCAATCATAGCTCACTGTAGCCTGCAACTCCTGGGCTCAAGTGATCTTCCTGCTTCAACCTCCCAAAGTGCTGGGATTACAGCTGTGAGCCACCACACCTGGCCAAATTAATCAGATTTTGATAAATCCAAATTAATTCCTCAACTCATGCCGTATATAGGTGAATTCAGGCCAGGCATAGTGGCTCATGCCTATAATCCCAGTAATTTGGAAGGCCAAGGTAGACAGATCACTTGAGTTCAGGAGTTTGAGACCAGCCTGAGCAGCATAGCAAAAGCCTGTCTATACAAAAACTTTTAAGAAAAAATTAGCCAGGTGTGGTGCTGCTCAGGTTGCATGTTGCAGTGAGCTGAGATTGTGCACTGCACTCCAGCCTGGGCGACAGAACTAAACCCTCTCAAAAAAAAAAAAAAGGTTGATTCAGTATTTCCCATATTTAGTTTAGATGGTGCTTTTTAACAATTGCACACATGTAAGCTTCATTTTTTTTTTTTTTTTTTTTTTTGAGACGGAGTTTCGCTCTTGTTACCCAGGCTGGAGTGCAATGGCACAATCTCAGCTCACCGCAACCTCCGCCTCCTGGGTTCAGGCAATTCTCCTGCCCCAGCCTCCTGAGTCGCTGGGATTACAGGCACACACCACCATGCCCAGCTAATTTTTTGTATTTTTAGTAGAGACGGGGTTTCACCATGTTGACCACGATGGTCTCGATCTCTTGACCTCGTGATCCACCCGCCTCGGCCTCCCACAGTGCTGGGATTACAGGCTTGAGCCACCACGCCCAGCCAGCTTC